TCTACTAACTAGTACATTTACTTTATTTATTAGAATTTATCGTCTACCTAAATATTTTTTTTATTAAAAGATAAAAAATAAAATATTGTTGCAACGTTCAATCGCCAGTTATGGCATGTGAGCAATTATCATTCGATCGATTTTTCCATTGGGAAGATATGGTATACCTATCTTAAAGTGCACGCCCCCTCGCAGTTGGTAGATCTCAGGCAATCCGTTTGCTACAAATGTTATCAATTCCTTTTCCGTCACCTAAGACACAATAATGTGAACTTCCGACAAAAGTTTATACGACTTTACAGAAAAAATCAATCAGATGTCAACCTCTGCCCCGCATTCTTTCTTAACATAAGCTACAGGATGTTGACCATCAGTAGGATGTGGCACAGAAAGTACAGCGACTTCTGACACAGCTGGATGTTGTAGTAACATGTTCTCAATTCTTGTAGGTGAGAGAAGAAATGTTCTATATTTAATAAGATCCTTTACTTTATCGACCAGGTAAATTTCGCCATCTTCATAATAGCCGTAATCTTGGGTACAGTACCATCTGTTAACTAAAAACATGTAATATGATTATATTTTTTTCAATTTTGTAACGTTTGTAAACCAATATATTGCATATTAGAAAAGTTATTATACTTAGAAAAGTTATACTGATAATACATACTATAATATTCTTCCTTGCAAATAGTATCTTCTTTTGCTTTATAGTTGTAACAATTTTGCAACTTGCATGTCTGAGGAGAGCAAAACTTCCATATGAATGCGTACCAGATCATGCCTGCTTTGTTTGAACGAACAGGTTTTATCGATTCCATATCACAAACCGTTAATTGAACATTTTTGGCCACATAACCGTTAGATTCAAACTGATTATTTCGTTGGTAAGCCGCAATTATGCAAAATTTTGCTATACCTTAAAAATGAAATGATTATTAATTTATAATGCATTTCTATCATTAATAATTGGTTAAAAAGTTGTACATACTATATACTTGAACGATAGAAACGTTTATAAATTTCTTGCAAAGTTTATTTTGAGCATCACTGAAATAGATGGCTGAATCATCGATTACCAATTGCTTCAAGGAAGAGATATCATACACACGGATATCGGTATAAAATATTTGGTTGCACATCTTGCTTTCAAGAAATATCCACGACACCTGTAACACACACATGTAAAATATATTTTATATTTTATTTATTTTCGGAGCAAGACTTGATTATTGTTATGTTACCTTGTACTTCTGTATCGTTTCATACATATTTTCATCGCTGAATTTCGAACACTTGATCACTGTCACGTATGAAATTATACAACGAACGGTCAAGATCATACCATAACTCCAATTTAAAGATGCATACCATAGACCAATGTCACCGGAAGACATTACGGGTACCTCCTGGTTCGATGGATATGTAAATGCAAAACAACAAATATATACTTTATTATCAAAATCACCTGTAGCACTGTGAGAAAACATTTTCGCTACAATATCATTAGGTTTCATCTTCACGCAGGAAAATTCATCGATCTTGGTCTTTTCAAAATCGTTGTTCAGAATTGATTCAAGACAATCTACACCTTCAATTCTATCAAATGTTATGATTTTTGGAGGATTCATTTCTGAATCTTTATAATCTATACATTGCAACACCATTTTGAGTCGGCTATAATTGTGGCTATCGATAAAGATAATATTTGGTCGATATTCTGTCAGAAAGTTCGCAATACATACCGCATCTAAAAAGATTTATTATTCAGTAAGTAAAAGATATACATCAGATATATGTGAACGTTAAAATAAGTTATGATGAATTTAAAAAAAAATCAATGTACTGATCATGTTTTTTTCATCCCACGTATTGACAATAGCACCGACGTATAAACTCGCTAGAAATGGTATATATTCCAGCATTTTATGACGTGTGCATATTGCTATTATGTTTTTTTTACAGCGTAATTGTTGGAACCATAATGCACATTTAACGCTGTTCTCCCGCATCTGCTGATATGTAGTTTGCTCTTCTGTCACTGCATTTATCTGCAAGACGTATTAATCGCATAATATTAAAAACATTGATGTTACATTTTGTCGGTAAAAGATATTACATCTTTTTACTATTTATAAAAAATGCTTGATGTAACGATATGTGACAATATAAAAATAAGCTTTTCTGTTACCTGACCGACAAAATCCGGCTTAGATTTAAATGCGCTCAAAATCATATTTCCAATATTTATATTATGAATTGTTTCGCCTTTCCCAGACCACACATTAATTTCTTTGTTGGGCTCCTAAAAGATGCACAATATAATTGTTAGTATGATTTATATTTTTCTAATACCTACGATGGATTTTATTATGTATCGTTACCTCAGACGCCATGTCACTATTAATTCTTTAAATTAATGATAATACTAACAACACTTTTTATCACACGAATGTGAGTAGCTCTTCTTGTGTCGAAACGAAGACTAAGTTTAAATTTCTACTAATATTTATTTTTGTATATTTGGAATGTAACGTTACAGTTAAAAGTTAAACGAATTTGTTTTGTTTGGAGAAGTCCTTTTAATCAAGTCGCTTGTAGTTGATGTTATGTGATAATATTTTTATTGCTATTTTGAATATTTATTTTTATATTCCGTGTCTTTAGTGTAGTCGACTTATTGTCTAAATTGTTTAAACTGGGTTTATGTTATTCAATATGTCTTGCCACTTGTAGTTTAGAAAATTTTATATCGATAAATACGAAATCTGTTAACTTTATGAAGTTGTATAATGGTATTTCAATATTAGTCACTAAACTTAATACGATACGTGCTATTTATCATCTTTACATACATGTTATCTCCCATAATTACAATAATAAGAATGCTATTAAAATTTAAAGATTTTTCTCATTAACTGAAATCCGTACCTCAATTTAACATGAAAATAATTTTAACTATGTTGTAAATAAAAATATTGTCTCTCTATCTCATTCGAATGTAAAAAATCAAAGATGTACACAGGATTATTCATAGAAAAAAAATGTTCCTGATCCATTAATTTTTTATTGATCGATAAGATTATCTCAGGTTTTGCAATTTCAAGATTTTAACTCCGTTAAAAGTGGAAAATAATTTGTATGTATCGCAAAAAAACTATATATCTATTCATATTATTTAATTTAACAATTATGATTTATTATTCTATCAAATATTTTTCACTTTACTGATAAAAGCTTGAATTATTAATTATTTTTCATTAGTCTCGTAAATTTCATTATATTAATTAAGTAAAAATAATAATATGTTTATATAATCAATTAGCTGCTGATTTGTATCTTCTGATAAGTTTTACGTAAATAAGGAAATATGGGATAAAAAATCGGAATTTTTATGAGAAGATTAAAAAAATTGCGCGTTTTAATAATTATACATATAAATTTTGTAATATCTCATAAAGATTATATTTTCATTGGATAAAAGATACTCTAATATTATTTTATTTTAATCAGTTTATTAATGGTCATTTCTTTCATCTTTGAAGTTCGTTTTTTGCAATAAAAATTTTTTAGAAAATTAGTAATCATTTTATAATGCACATTTTACAGTTTTGAAGAATAAATTATTTAATGGAAAGTATTTTCAAATATTCTCACGAAAAAGTTATTTCAATTTTGTTTCATAATCGTTTCTAGGAGAACGTTCTTTACGATTTTTTCGTTGACGGATTTATGAAATTAGTATTATAAAATTCAAAGATCACGAAGAGATATCAGGCAGTCTATTTTAAACAAAAATCAATATACTGTACGACTTTATTATTTATTATATTAATGTAATTATTTTATATTAATTATATCCACATTAAGACTAAGCAATTTCCTGGCTCTATGAAGAGTAACATAGATAGTTTTAAAAAAGAACTTACATTATACAGATATTGTACTCATTAGCCTATTACTTATTTTGTCTAATGTCTTTAAAAAGTTATTATTAAAAAGTATCAAAATCCTGGAAAATAGAAAGCTTATTTCAGAACATGATTTGGATTTCGTGATCAGCATGCAACAATCGAATAAATTCATAGAGTTGTAGCAAATAATGCCTTAAAGGAAAAAAGTAGTGTTTAGCACTATTTTTAAACATTTCGCTGGCTTTTGGCATACTTTTGGAAATCCTTATTGCTTTTCAGATTACACAAAACAATTTAATAATTATGTTTGCATTAAAATTTTTTTATTATTAATGTATTTCTTATACAAAACAGAAATAGTTATTATTTAATTTCAAATACATTAATATCACGAAACAGTACAAAATAATATCATTGACAGTCCACTTTATCATAAAATGTCACATACAAGTATGCTTACTGGAGATTTTCATTATTTCTGTACTAAGGTAAATGCACTAGTTACTGGACAGTTAATGGACATAACTCAATTTGTTGGACAAAATGGTTCGAAGTTTTAAATATTATGATTTAATGATATGTATGATTCTAAATAAATTTTGTTTATAATTGTTTATAAAAACACAACATAAAAAACGAATTTATTTAGAATTACCATTAAAAGTACATACCGTTAAATGCGTTATATTTAAAATGTTTTGTCCACCAAATTGGTTAATGTCTGCTAACTGGTACATTTACCTTATTTATTAGAATTTAACGTCCACTTAAACATTTTTTTTATTAAAAGATAAAGATATAATATTATAGTACACGTTTTACTAGGGATGTATATTCCGGTACTAGCATTCGATCGATTTTTCCATTGGGAAGATATGGTAAATATTCCTCGAAGTGCACGCCCCCGCGCAGTTGGTAGATCTCAGGCAATTCAGTTTCTAAAAATATCATCAATTCCACTTCCGACAGCTAAAACACAATAATGCGAACTTCCGACAAAAAGGTTTTTATACGAAAATGTTGTTACAGAAAAAGTCAATCAGATGTCAACCTCTGCTCCGCATTCTTTCTTAACATAAGCTACAGGATGTTGACCATCAGTAAGATGTGGTACAGAAAGCACAACGACTTCTGACACTGCTGGATGTTGTAGTAACGTATTTTCAATTCTTGTAGGTGAGAGATGGTATGTTCTGTATTTAATAAGATCCTTTACTTTATCGATCAGGTAAATTTCGCCATCCTCTTTATAATAGCCGTAATCTTGGGTACAGTACCATTCGTTAACTGAAAACATGTAATATGATTATATTTTTTTCAATTTTGTAACGTTTGTAAACCAGTATATTGCATATTAGAAAAGTTATTATACTTAGAAAAGTTATACTGATAATACATACTATAATATTCTTCCTTGCAAATAGTATCTTCTTTTGCTTTATAGTTGTAACAATTTTGCAACTTGCACGTCTGAGGAGAGCAAAACTTCCATACGAATGCGTACCAGATCGTGCCTGCTTTATTTGAACCAACTGGTTTTTTCGATTCTATATCAAGAACCATTAATTGAACATTTTTAGCCACATAACCGCTAGATTCGTACTGCTGATTATTTCGTTGGTAAGCCGCAATTATGCAAAATTTTGCTATACCTTAAAAATGCAATGATTATTAATTTATAATGCATTTCTATCATTAATAATTAGTTAAAATTGTACATACTATATACTTGAACGATAGAAACGTTTATAAATTTCTGGTAAAGTTTTTTTTGAGCATCACTGAAATAGATGGCTGAATCATCGATTACCAATTGCTTCAAGGATGAGATATCATACATACGGATATCAGTATAAAATATTTGGTTGCACATCTTGCTTTCAAGAAATATCCACGACACCTGTAACACATGTAAATATTTTCTATTTTATTTATTTTCGAAGCAAGACTTGATTATTGTTATGTTACCTTGTACTTCTGTATCGTTTCGTACATATTTTTATCGCTGAATTTCGAACACTTGATCACTGTCACATATGAAATTATACAACGAACGGTCAAGATCATACCATAACTCCAATTTAAAGATGCATACCATAAACCAATTTCACCGGAAGACATTACGGGTACCTCCTGGTTCGATGGATATGTAAATGCAAAACAACGAATATATACTTTACTATCAGAATAATTTGTTGCACTGGGAGAAAACGTTATCGCTACAGTATCCTGAGGTTTCATCTTCACGCAGGAAAATTCTTCGATCTTGGTCTTTTCAAAATCGTTGTTCAGAATTGATTCAAGACAATCTACACCTTCAATTCTATCAAAAGTTATGATTTTTGGAGGATTCATTTTTGAATCTTTATGATATATAGATGGCAACACCTCTTTGAGTCGGCTGTAATTGTGACTGTCGATAAAGATAACATTTGGTCGATAACGACTCATAAAGCACGCAATACGTAGTATGTCTAAAAAGATTTATTATTCAGTAAGTAAAAGATACACGTCAGATATATGTGAACGTTAAAATAAGTTATGCTGAATTTTAGAAAAAAATCAAAGTACCGTCCATGTTCTTATCATCCCACGTATTGACAATACCACCGACATATAAACTCGCTAGAAATGGTATATATTCGAGCATTTTATAACGTGTGCTTACGATTGTGATATTTTTATAGTGTGATTGTTTTAACCATAATGCACATTTAACGCTGTTCTCTCGCATCTGCTGATATGTAATTTGCTCTTCCGTCACTGCGTTTATCTGCAAGACGTATTAATCGCATAGTAAAAATATTGATGTCACATCTTGACGGTAAAAGATATCACATCTTTTTACTATTTATAAAAATGCTTGAACGATATATATGACAATATAAGAATAAGCTTTTTTGTTACCTGACCGACAAAATCCGGCTTAGATTTAAATGCCCTCAAAATCATATTTCCAATATTTATATTATGAATTATTTCGTCTTTCCCAGACAATACGTTAATTTCTTTGTTGGGCTTCTAAAAGATGCACAATATAGTTGTTAGTATGATTTATATTTTTACTAATATCTACGATGGATTTTATTATGTATGTATCTGTTACCTTAGACGCCATGTCACTATTAATTCTTCAAAATAATGATAATACTAATAGCACTTTTTATCACATGAATGTTGAGTAGCTCTTCTTGTGTCCGAACGGAGACTAAGTTTAAATTTCTTCTAATATCTATTTCTGTATGTTTGGGATGTAACGTTATAGTTACAAGTTAAACGAATTTGTTTTGTTTGGAGATGTCCTTTTAACCAAGCCGCTTGTAGTTGATGTTACGTGACAATATTTTTGTTGCTATTTTGAAATTTATATTCTTACATATATATTTTATTTTTATTTAATACACAGCGAGCGCTCAACAATGGATGATAGCCACTGTTAGTAGTGAATGAATTAAAATATATAGAAATCTATATTGCCATTTTTATATCTTAACATTGTTTGAGGCAAGTGCCTCGTTTGCTAATCCCTATTCTGACAGAGTGTAATATTTTTAAGTATTGAAAATAATAGAACATACTTTTGGTGAAGCTTTATTCAAGTAATGCAAGATTACAATGTGTAATGCGATGAGATAAAAATCTCATTCGTTAGTTACTGAGAACTGCGTTTAAAACGCATTTTTTTTACTTAATAAGCAAGGAAATACTTTGTTAATATAATCGTAATCAAACAATATGTCTTAATATTAAAAGAAATTGATTCAATATTGAAGGTAAAATATAGAATTTCTAGAAAAAGAAATAAGAATGAAAAGTAAGAGAGTCAGTGATTGAGAAATATATAAGGATAAATAGAAAGTTCTGTCGAATAATTTTAGGAAGAGAAATTAAAATGCTATTTTTTATCTTTAAAATTGCAATCCGGATAGCACATATAATAAAAGATTTCTTAATATCATATTAAGATTATGTAATTCTATAAGGCGTTGCTAGAGAATCATCTCACGAAGAAGTTTTGTATCATAGAATCTAGAAATTCTAGCTGTTGCGGCACCATAGTACAGCACGAATTGTATTCCAAGCGGATGACAAATCGTGCGTCGAAACCGAGAATGAATTATACCGCGTTTTCGCGTGCATCTGATATTCTGTAGCCGGAAACACAGCGCGCGATGATAGATCTTCCTCTCGTTTTCCGACCTGCAATATGTCTAAAATACATCAATTCGTCTTGACTCTTGAACGCTTTTATAGAATTAATGTATTGTGCTTGGAAAATCGATTTTCAATTGCGGCACGCTATGGGAAACAATATAGATTATTAAGGAAAATCGGTTTATTAATCTTTCACTATGTCGACTGTATAATATGACAAAAATAAATGAAAGTATAATAACATTTTAATTTGTCGATATATATAATACGAATGCTATTATTAGATGTATCTTAAGAATCTTAAATATCTATTATTAGGTGAATAGATTTTTAAACAAGACTGATTTTTTACCAATATACTGTTCGTATGAAGTGAATAAATGGTTTTTAATTTTTTTATAATTTCTGATAATTCTCGTTTAATTTATTAATTTGTGGAATATCAATTACGGTATTCGTGTGTGTATTGCTAACTTCTAATCATAATGATTGGAAACGGTAATTACATTTTTAAATCCATTTTAGAATTTGTGTCACAATTTAGGATAAAGTTCTAATAATTTTATATAATGTGTAATTTGAAAAATGTGTGAAAAGTACTCGCAGTATGAAATAAATACATATTAAACTATATACGTATATCAAAATACACAGCACACAACATTATGAATAGAATTATGTCTTGAAATCTGATATGAATTATAAATCGCCTAAAGTGAATTTTAGCAGAAGAGCATTTACTTAATATTAGTTAACTGCTTATAACAATCAACCAAGTTCACCATGATCTCACGGCCACCTGATCCTTCTACCGATAAGTCAGACGAGCCGAGGAAGTGCCTAAGCGCTAACTAACTAATAGTCACGGCTTGGCCTGATGTCAGAAATACAACGGGGGTTGAACGATCGCGAGAATCAAGACGATACATCAATTATCTGGCCTCGCCACTCGTTACTTTATTAGCTGCCATTGGCTACTGTGTTCTTCATGACGAAAACGCGAAAATCAAAATCAGAATGGTACTGATAAGGCTTATAAGAAGCAGCTTGAAGAAAATGATGCTTCCACCAATGTTCTTTGAACTCGAATTTTCTGAAAAATTGAGAGTAACCCAACCCTGAACAATCACCGCATCGCTTTTATACGCTTCGATTAACGAACAAAAACATTATTCATGGGTGTCTAGACCCTTTTTTTCTCTTTTCTTTTTCTTTCTTTCTCTCTCTTTCTCCGAAGAACTCATTTTACGTGCATCGTGGGCTTTGTATTGTATCTTCGAAGGTTTGAGTGAGGTAGTTTCAAAAGCGTAACATTTCTTAACAAAAGAGCACGTTCTAGAATTAGCCGAAAGCTATCTAATCTTGCTTCAGTAGAATGTATTGTAGGTCAATAATATTCTAAATAGGTAGAAAGAGAAGAGTGAGTCGACAATGGAAAGGAATATTCATTTAATAGTTCTGAAAAAATAATTGCAGAGTGACGATCCTTTTCATGTGTAAATTCCATTGTATTCTTTGTTTGATCAATATTATATTATTGGCAATTATAATATGTCGTTTTTTCTAATAATTAAAGGTATTTTTTTTTAAAGAAGTAAGCTCATTAATTAATATCAAGTGAAAGTTACTCTAACAGAACTGCAATTTAATAAAATAAAAAAAAATGAACGATGCTTAATGTTGAAAATTTAAAGAAAAAACTTATTCTAAATTGATTAAAGAATTTGTGATAAATAACATTTTTACTTTTATATGGTATTAATTTTTATAAAGTTATTAAAAATATCTAATAAAAAATGAAAATTAAATAAATAAATGCTTTATGAATTTTATTTCTTTCTTTTTATATTCTTTAGTTTACTTTTATTATGAACAATTTTATATATTGCTCATTTATTGCAACACAACGACATAATTGAAAAAATATAATCTTTCAGAAAATAAGTTTAAATGTTTGTAATCATTAAAATTTGATAATATTTTGAAACGCAATTTTAATGTAATAACTAATTGTAAAGAAATAAATATATGTTCTTTTTTTTCTTTATGTTTCTATTCTTTTTTTTTGCAAACATTTAAAAAATTGTTTTTTTTAAATAGTGCTGCAAATGAGCGATGTATCATTTTATTTATTTTACATTTCTTAAATATGTATACACGCGCTTTTGTTCAAGGATTTCAGTATTGCTTTACTTTATCTTGTATAAATTATACGATAGTATAATTTATACAAGATGATATATCACGATCTCGCAGATCGTTTAGATTCAAATCACAATGAAGCGTGTCTTGAACGCCAGAGGGTTAGCTGCTTCGTTGCGCGATCGATCGATGTAAGTAGCGCGATTTAACCGGCCCGCCGGGGGTTTCGCGATGGAATTTTCCAAAATTCGAGAGAGCGACTGAATGCCCGATGGGAATTGCAAATTCCCCGACAACCACTTCGGTTCCGTTACGAGCGGGCGTTTCCGCTTGCCTCCGTCCTCTGTAAGCTCCGCTTCGTACGTGTGCCACCCTCGTTTTACTGGTATACACGTAGCTCGGTACGATAGGCAGAATAAAGCCCGTGGCACACACAAAAGATATCTCATTGCACGCAGTTGCAAGTTGCAGCGCGTACTATCTTGCATAGTCCAGAACAGTGCTAGCTTTATGTTTGAAGTTACTTGGATTATTGTATGTACGATAATAATCTAAAATCGTTTTGTAGAAGACAGTCAGGTAAAGAATAGGTCTGTTCGCGTTGCTTGCGCTCTTTGTATTCAGCATCTTCTCTCTCTTTTCAATGCCCAAATATATTTATTTCATTTTAAGTGCAAAAATTTTGGAGGATTTCAAGCAACGATTTAATTATGATTGCAACATTCCAGATATCTTAAACTAGAAAGAGATATATATCTGAAAAATCTTTTTTTTTTTTCTTATAAAAGGAATAGCGTGCACGCAACGTTAATTGCGAGTAATACTCAATAAATTAAGTAACCATTGTTATTTATGTAAAATTTTTGTAAGATGTTTCAGTTAAAGCGAATTATTTAAATTAAGAATAAATTTTTACAATAAATAAAAGACGAATTTCTTTAATTAAAAATCATCAAAAAAAAGCTGCATCTAAATAATATAATAATTCTTGATAAAACTTGATAGAATTAAAATAAAATTATAGTCTTTGAAAAGAGAGAAATTCTCGAATAAATCTGAATTGCTCACAATTTTAATTAAAAATGAGACTTACTGAAATAAATTTAAATTTATTGAAAAAAATTATCATAAAACTAATCTTTTAACAATCAAAAAAAAGTATAATTATATACCACGTGTTCAAGTGTATGAGAAAATCTAAATCCCAGCTTTATCTTCCAATGGAATGGCGTTGCATTCTTAAGAATACAAGTATTTATCGAAGAAATAATAATTGCTTATTCATTGTATTTTCGAGATTAGATATTATAAAGAAAATTTAGAAACATGTCTAACAGAAATGATCAATAAAAATTCTTTACAACACTACGTATTTCAGAAAAATTTTTCTTGGTTGGTCGGTCGATCCAAAAAATATTTGTAGAAAGGCATGAAGAATATAGACATGAGAAATATTTCACAACGATCTATAGCTATCATGAAAACAAGACATTATTATAAAAACGTGACTGCTGTTCACGTGGCTGCATAAAAATTCTCGAATTCTCCAATCATTTTACTCGAAAATCTTCCGTGTTATATTAACAATCTTTTATTTGCAATGGATGCTTGAAATAACACAGTTAATCACTAAACATCTCAAACTAATGTTATTAATAAAACTAAACTCGGAACCATACTCGCGATGGAAACAGGAACAAGGCTACGTTCGGATTCCCACCTGGATGCTCCCCGGATGTCATATTATCCTTGTTGTTTACCGAACGTTAAACAAGGATGACATGACACCCGAGGAGCATCCGAGTGGGAAATCCGAACGCA